ATGTCTTTACAGACAACAGTTAGTGTGCCATTATGCAAATGTTAAATTTGCTTAGAGGAGAGGGTAAAATAACCAGGAACGGGTTATTCTGCTTCCTGGTCTCAGCACATCTGTTTGTGTCCGTTTGCAAAACAAACATCTGCTCACTTTTCCAGTGACATTGTTTGGCTTACATCTTATCAGCTGGAGCACATATTACTTACACACCAGACCAACGGAACAGAGTCCATAGGCAAAGCAATCTTTTCTTCCTCCATCTCACCAAAAAGCTTTTAACAAAGAGCAATAAATCAGTAGCAGTGACCTTTTCTCTCACTTAATAAATGTAATAAATGCGTGCTGCAGATCTGCTGAGTACATCTCACTGTGGGGCTCTTTAAGTAATCAGCAGTCTTGAATTTATTCAATTTTGGATGAAATAAAAGCCTTGCATGAAGTAGAAAACRATATTTATGTGCATCCATATAACATTTAAATAACGTGCATGTTTTTAGCAGTGTTGTATGTTTAAAAACACTTATTAGCTTTTATTAAAGAAAAAAATGCCAACAAGAAACAATTTTAAGCACTCAAATCAAATCACAGAACAAATCAGGAGTCCTTTTTACACAGTTAATTATTTCAGGCTAAAGGTTAGGTCGTTTAAATTATCATGCAAGAACTCGAGAACTTGAGTTGATATATTTTAACTTTCATAAACTTTGATATATTTTAACTTTCATAAACTTTGATATATTTTAACTTTCATACACTGATATTAGCTGAACAATCTTTTCTGGTGGTTCTTTGACTGCACGGTCTCACGAGGCAACCATCCAGACGAGCTAACCTAAGTTTAGCTTCTCTGCAGCACCGACCAGGCCTCGTCTTAAATCAATGAATGGAAGTTAGGATACCCTTCAGTCTCACGAAACTAAACTTTACGTAAAAGTTTGTTTACCACACGGATCCGTAGGCGCCAGAGCCCACAGGACGCAACTTTTGGTACCGCTCCGGAACTTCCCATATCGTCTTGTTGACCTCCAGTCGGTAAAACTTCTTGGGTCTTTCTTTCTGCGACATTCTTCGTTCTGACTTCAGCCCCGACGTGGTGGTGCTGAGTCCGAGCCGACCGCAGTTCTGCACCTCCCGAACAGGAGGAACAAAATGGAAGTGTTGTCTTCACGCAACTTCACGTAGTGTTTCCGTCTTCAGGTTGCTTTCTCACTGAAAAAAAGTTGCAGAATCACCGCCAGCTGCGTGCTTCACTTTCAACTCTTCACTGGTCCTTTCAGGTTCCGACGAGATTTCACGCAGAGGCAGACGCTCATTGAAGTCTCGCGAGAACATAGACAGTAGGCTATGTACTGTATGTATGTATGTATGTATGTATATTAGTTTTCTGGGAGGAAACTCATGCAAGCACAAACAACATGCAGACTCCACACAAAGGCCCAAGGTCCGAACCAGGGATCGAACCCAGGACCTTCTTGCTCTGAGGCATCAGTGCTCACCACTGAGCCTTGATCAATTTATTTAGACGTCAGACTTTGAAGCGTTTTCAAAAATGTTATGACACACTTGGATAAAATAATCTCTAGTCAAAAAGATCCGAAAGATGTGATAAATTTGTGTGTGTGTGTGTGTGTGTGTGTGTGTGTGTGTGTGTGTGTGTGTGTGTGTGTGT